CAAAAAAACTAACATAGGTATATAGCATCATTTACAATTTAGGAATTTAATTACGCCCCCAAATCACAGAACAATTCAGTTATACACAGTCCACAATATAGTGCTAAAATTAAAAGGTACAAAATACAAAATAGGTATGTGGTAGATCCTAATAAACCGGCACTTCGAACACCTAAAATACATCTCTTCCTTTCCTTATATATAAGGGTGAACAACAACAAACAATTTATTTTTTTAATAAAAATGGTAGCTAACATTTTATATTCTGTGACAATGATTAATAATATAACATATACCGATTAGAAATAAATTTTTAAGTTTTCAAAAATTAATAACAATTGTACATTTAGCGTATTACTTATTTATATTTATGCACTATCCATGAATAATTTCTTTTGCGCGGCAAGATGACTTCCCTTTTTTGTCCTGAATTCAGTTGTAAAAATAAAAATTTGTTGATGTCGATGTTGGTCCTCTATTTTTTAAGGGGTAAATAATCAAGGAGATATCAGTTCATATTGAAAAGAGAAGTAGTAGTAAAAGATTTGCCGCTTTCTGTCGCTATACATAATATTGGAAATTAAAAAAATTTCCCTAAGTTGATGTGAAGTTTGCGGGACTCCACCAAAAGGTATTCTCAAACGGAAAAAATAAATAGTCGAAATTTTTTAAAATATATCCACCACTTATCGTATTACCGGGAAAACCAAAAATTTCGCCCATGTTTTGATACAAATATTTATTTTCGTGATGTCTCGCTAACTTGACTTGACATGAGCAAAACAATGACACTTTTTTTTAAATAAAGTTGTCAGTGTTGCCCATTAGTTATCGTATCCCGCTTAGGAATGTATAGCTAAAAAGGGACAATGGAACATTTTTTGTGATAGTTAAAATGGAAAAGTGCAATCGAATTTCTTTAAAAAGGTAGGCTGAGAATGTGAAAACCGTTTTCTCATATTCTCAAGGATAAAAAAGGACATCAAATTTAGAAAACTACGTAGACTGTATTTATATCGGTATTGTTTCTGTTATATAATATATCACGACGTTTCCTATGTGTATGACCCGCTAAGTGAAAAAATGCCTGTGTGTCATTTGTTATCTATTAGGCTTTATGGAAAGCAAAGGACACCTGTACCTTTTGCTTTCGGTCGCATTTCTCGGAAGAGATCATTTTTACGAAGACTTACTGATACTGATAATTTTAGATGGGAAATATACACATCAAACATGTAATTTATTCATATTTGATTTAATCTAATTAAACATAGTGGTACGTTTCTGGTGGTTTGAAGGAATTGTGTTCATATGCAGCGCTACTTGTATATAATTTGTGATAGTAGTATTGTACGTTCAAGCCGCCAAAGGGAAGTATTATTACAGTATCATTAGGGTTAATAAAAATAATCAAATTTCTTTTGTTTTGGTATTGATATCTTGATAACGTCCACCACTTGAACGAGGAATAAGTGGTGGCTGTATTAACAAATGTATTAAAACTGCAGTTTTTCGTTTTTCCTCCCCAATTTATTTGTGAAAATCGAAATTGATCTTCTTTTATTTTTTTTATATTCCTGATATTTATTATTTATTTATTTACTTATGTATTTATTTATCTATTTAATCCTTTCAATTACTGGTATAGTCGTATTCCGTCTAGCCTATAGCTTAGCTGAAACTTGATACTTCCTAAACAAATTTTTTGAAGCATCCTGATATAATGAAAAAGGTTTTATACTCGTAAATAAAAAATTATTTCCAAAGTAGCTATAGGTAATCATATCCATTTAGTGCACTTTTCGCCTTGGGAATATGGGACATGATTTATAAGTATGATTAGTACTTATTCAATGATTACGCTTAATTAAAAAATTAAACGCAAAAATCAGGCGCAAGAACTCGAGTCCGATATAGCCCGGTTAAGAAAAATTGCGTATCCTACGGCTCCGGAAAGCTTTATAGAGCAGCCGGCGATACAGACGTTTGTCGATGGTGTTCGCGATGTGGAAACGCAACAAGACAAAGATTTGTTCTTTGAAGAGCTGCCAACAGAATTTCTTGAAGATACAAATGTGAAAAATTAGTAGATTACATACCGAGCTGGGAAATGGTTCATTACTTACGCCGAGGGCTTAATTGCCGAACTGAACTTCGGGCTCTTGTTATATAATAATTATTTATACGTGAATAATTAAGGAAATCAAAATGTAGAATGTTTTGAAACAAATTGCTTAAAATGTTAAAGATGTCAAAGGTTGTCACTCCTATACGGTGGTAAGTGCTTTCGGAAAATAACCATATACGTCAATAGACAGCCAATATGAATTACAAATATATGGAAATTAAGAAACAAAGTAATTAAGATTACTGAAGTTAATTGCTTAATTAAGTTGCAAACATCTTTACAGACAGTACTCTTAAAATAAGGCACATTGAAGCGGTTGCCATAATGGTTACAATAGTGTTTTTGTTATTGAGTGATACCTCGATTAACAATATTAAATAATATCAGTAAATTTAATTTGAACGAAGGAAACCGTATGAGTATATGAGAGGGACGTCTTACCCCAACTGAACTTGATCACTCCATAATATTTTTTACAAACTTAGTATTAGCAGTTAACAAATGAGGTTGGTCCCCAAAATGGCATTTTTTAAAAATTGTTCTCTAAAAAACGATGTCCAGAAGGATGTCACGTCTTTGGATAGGAAATTCCTCCCCAAGGTGGTGCGAAGAATTAGCGAAAACGCCGAATAATTTTAAAAATTCGAAAAAAATTCGACTGTAACTCTCGACCTGACAATGAAAGCGATCACGATTTTATGAAATTTCCTGTGCATGTTTTTTAGGGATTTAAGAGAATACTTAATCCCTGCTGCTCAAACATCTGTGTATGCTTTTTTTCCCAATTTAATGTACGCACTTTGTCATGCTGTCGTGTCATGCACCAAAGAACACCTTTCTTAAAGATCCATAGACATCACTTTAACACGTCACTGATAAGAGAGTGAATTATATATGGCATCTTGCACTTTAGGTTAGTAGGTAATGGCAGCATCCCATGCCAAACTTTTTTTAAGGGATTTCAGAAATGTATTTAAATTTCGTATGGTTGTGCTAAACTGGATGAGAGGCATCAGCATATTATTCTTCTAATTTGGCCCCCCTCTTAAAATGTGGCTTGTGACCTACCTGAGTCAAGAACCATTTAAGAGTAATGGTAGTTTCACTTTTAGTTTGACAAATTAATATGGAGGAACCCCATAACCAGAGGCGTTAAAAACACACTCAACCAGGACATTATTCACTTAAAATATAAAATTTGCAC